GGTGTTGCGCGTTTGCCTCTGATGCCCCCCGGTCCTGCGGAAGCTGCCCCCCCGCCTATTCCCAAAGGGGCTGTGGAGGTTTCTGGCTTCCCGTGGCACCAACGTGGTGGGACCCCGGCCAGGCTCAAGGGTGGCTGAGCCACGTTGGGGAGGTGGCATGGCCCCCGCCACGGCTGTCACAGAGTCCTTGGGCACCACGGGGCTGTGCGGGTGCCACGGGACAGCGTGCTTGGGCAGCAGGGCTAGAGCGGCCGGAACTGCAGGCTGTGGCCATGGCAGAGCCATTGGCCAATCAGAGACCCCAGAGATCTGCCATGGCAGAGCCATTGGCCAATCAGAGGCCCTGGAGGTCTGCCATGGTAGAGCCATTGGCCAATCAGGTCCTGGGGAGACTTGTCACAGTACAGATATCAGCCAGTCAGAATCCAAAGCTGTGCCACAGCAGAGCTGTTGGCCAATCAGAGACCAGAGAGATCGACTGTGGCAGAGCAGCCGAGCAATTGGTGCCCAGAGAGACCTGCAGTGGGAGAGCCATCGGCCAACTGGATCTCAGAGTCCTGCCATGGCAGAGCTGCCAGCCAATCGGTGCCAGGGGATAGGGCTGTCGGCCAATCAGCACTGGGGAGATCTCCAGGCCCAGTAGTGCTGCCGTGGCCACGGCCCATTGTGCCCATGATGGGCTGTGCCTGTGCCCATGCCCATGCCTGTGCCACGGGTGGGACCCGAATGGGTGCTGGCAGCTCCGTGGTGCCCGGGGCAGGAGTGGGATGTGCCATCCGGGGACAGCCTGGTGCAATGGGGGCATATTTCAGCAGGTGATGGCTGTGGGTCTGTCCTCACTGGTCCCTGCACCAGTCAGAGGGGTGAGGACCTGGCGGCAGTGGTGGTGGCATCATGCTGCGCTGTTTGTTTTTGCATCCCCATCGCCCTGGAGAATGACTTGATGGTCTCACAGGGGTTTCCTTGGTGTGTGCACTGGCACAGATAAACCTTGGAGTCCCTGATCAAACTGGCTCCTTCCCAACCCACCCCATGGAAAGTCATGGGAGGCTCTGGGCCTGCTGTCCTCTACCCTGCTCAGGGATCCCGCGTCTCTCTGGGTTCACGCTGACATTTCCTCTGGGGAGACAGGAGCCAGTGGAGGGGCTCTCCGGGCCCATCCCAGGCGTTTCAGTCCAGACGGGACGTCACCCTGTCAGTCAGGCTTGTGTGCCATAGGTGGAAAATGTTGGATTTGGGGAAAACCCAGGGAAACCAAACGGTGATGCTGCGGCACTGGTGCTCCTGAAGTGGTTTGCAGAGCTGCTGGCTCCACTGTCGTGCCGGAGCCCAGAACAGGCTGGTGTGAGGGCACCGAAGCAGCACCCTGGGGTCTGCTGGCTCCCAGGAAGAGGGAGGGGAGCAGGACTACGAGGGCAGCGTGGGCAGGTAGTCCCAGCCACGGAGATGGGTCTTGACTTGCCCTGCATAAAACATCCCCTTCTGTGGACATGCGTCCGAGAGGACCAAGATGGTCCTCCCAAGGGGGGAATTTCATGCCGCATGGAGGCAGCTCTGGGTTTTGGAGCCAGCTCCCATGCGGGGTTACCCAGGGTGCAACACACCTGCAAGTCCCGGTGCCCCTGGTGGGTGTCCAGGCACTGCGGGGGCTCTGTCCCCTGCACCCTTGTGGTCCCTGGTGTCTGCGGCTCAGCTTTGCTTCTGCTCTTCATTGCGGCCTGAAGGGGGATTGAGGAAGGGGCCAGCAGCTGCAAAGAGGAGCCGGAGCCGGTCCGCGCCCCCGGCTGCTGGGCAGGGGCTGCCGTGCCAGCCGGCTGCCACAGTTGCCTTCCCTCGCTTGCGTTGGCTGATGGCCACCATGGAGGAGATGGTGATCTGGGAGCAGCACACGGTGACACTAAGCAAGGTGAGCACGGCCCTGGGTGGCTGCAGGAGGGGATGGAATCTGTGGGGCCGGCTCTGCCTGACCCCTCTCTGTCCATCCCCACTAGGATCCTCAACGGGGCTTTGGCTTCGCTGTCTCCGGAGGCCGGGACCGTCCTAACAGGATGACCGGGGACACAGCGGTGATCGTTTCAGATGTGGTGGCCGGGGGACCGGCGATGGGCCGGCTCCAGTGAGTGTGTGGGGACGTGGGGACATGGTGGGCGCTCGCTGCCAGTGGGGACGGGAAGCGCAGCGAATTGCTCCTGCTAGGACAGGGCCAGCACAGCTGCCACCCTGCCCGGCTGGGATGGGGTCCTCCTGGGGCAACAATTGCCCTCACCACCCCACCAGCTCCCCCAGCTGGGGGCTGTGCCTGGGGCAGAGCCACAGCTGCATTTTCCCTCCCAGGAGGAAGGATCACATCGTGATGGTGAACGGCCTTTCCATGGAGAATGTCTCATCCTCCTTCGCCATTCAGACACTTAAAACCTGTGGCAAGATTGCCAACATCGTGAGTGTGCCCTGCAGTGTGCCCTGTCCCACACACCCCGGGGTTCCTGTTTGGGGCTTGGAAATTACTGTAGAAACATCTCCTGGCAGTGGCAGCAGCACCCACATCACATCGTGATGGTGAACGGCCTTTCCATGGAGAATGTCTCATCCTCCTTCGCCATTCAGACACTTAAAACCTGTGGCAAGATTGCCAACATCGTGAGTGTGCCCTGCAGTGTGCCCTGTCCCACACACCCCGGGGTTCCTGTTTGGGGCTTGGAAATTACTGTAGAAACATCTCCTGGCAGTGGCAGCCCCCCCCACCATCCTCTCCTCCTCACTTTCTGCCTGCAGACACTGAAAAGACCGAAGAAAGTCCGCATCCCTGTGAGCAAGAGTAGCCCTGGGTCCCCCACTGTGCCCCAGCGCTATGACTCGGATGAGGACTACAGGTCGCATGGTGGGCATCCAGCCCTCCACCGCTCCTGGGATGACCTGGACCATAGCCAGGGCTATGATGGGGACTCGTCCAGCGAGAGAAGCTCTGGCCACCATCGGGATGACCGCCGCCACCACAAGCCAGTGCCCCGGAGCCGGAGGCGAAGCCAGGATAGCAGCCACTGGAGGCAGAGCCCCGGCAGTGGCTCGGATCGGAGGGGCTATAGCCGGCACCGCTCCACCAATGGCCTCAGCCACGAAGGGGACAACCATGGGCTGGCCCTGGTGTCGGGCTTCAAGCGGCTGCCCCAACAGGATGTGCTGATGAAGCCCATCACATCGGTCCTGGTGAAGCAGAAGCAGAACGAAGGTGAGGCTGTCCCGTCCCTGGGTTTTGTCACCTGATTTGTGGCCGTGCATCGCCCTGGGGAGGAAGCGATGTCTGGGTTGGTGCCAGGGTCTGGTGCATGCCCTGCTGGGTGCACCAAACCTGCCTGGCCTCAGCCTGGGGGTGCAGAGCTCAACTTTGGGGCTTGCTAGTGCCCCAAGGGGAGCCGTGGTGGGCCTGTGGGGATGGGGACCTTGAGGGGGTCCAGTGTCTGCCTGGCTCTGGCACTGTCATGGGCTCTCTCTGGTGCAGAGTATGGCGTGAAGCTGGGAAGTCAGCTCTTCATCAAGCACATTGTGGAGAGCAGCCTGGCGGCGAAGGGCAGCTCTTTGCAGGAAGGAGACCTCATCCTGAAGGTACGGTGGCCCACGGGGCACTTGCTGGGGATCTCATCTCCACTTTTCCAGTGGCTCATCCCTGGCTAGCGTCACAGCAGGCTGCTCCTCTCGGCTGCCTGCAGAGGATGGCAGCTTGGCTGGAGGCAGCAGCGTCTGGTGCCCACACCCTGCCCCGGCTTCCCAGCCATCACCAGGGACCCCGCCTGGGCTCTTGGGCACCAGCTCCCCGCAATGCCAAAGCTGCCTGGTTGAGGCAGCCCCGTGGTGTTCAACCAGGGACAGTGGCTTGTCCGACTGCCACAGCAGGATCACATCTGCCCTCTTGTCCCCATGGTGCGCGGTCCCCTGTCACATATGCGTGTCCCTGCCGAGGGAGCAGTTGGTCCAAGGAGCTCAGGTGTTCGGGCTATGTCAGGTGAAATGACGCTTAAAGTATTTGGGGAGGAAGAAATAGAGGAGCTGCTTCGTTTGCACACATGGGCCAGGCAGACCCATGGCTGCTGGGAACTGGGGCTAAAGTGACTCTGGGGCAAACGGGAGGGATTTCATCCCAGCAATCCGGTGGGAAAAGCTGCTGCACCTTGGGGAGATCGCAGCCCTGTGGTCTGCTTGGGGCCTGACTCCCTGGTACTAGTGCGTGGAAGGACAGCGCTGGGCCAAAATCAAAGTAAAACTGAGCTTCAAGCAAGTGCCTGCGGGGGTCTGCGCAGCTCCTGCCTCCACGCAGGGCCCTTCTGCAGCTAAAGGTGGGAGTTAATTAGCCTTGCTATTTTGTTTCCTCTGTGCAGGATGAGGACCTGCTGGGAGGCAGCCAGGAATGGGGACACGGGTCAGAATAGGCGAAGCTGTGGAGCTGGGGCTGCGCTGGAGGGGCTGGGAAGGGACGGGGAAGGCGGCAGTTGGAGCATCTCATGCAAGTGGGGCCTTCCTGGGGGTGGCTTTCCCAGGAGCGAGTGCCCTGAGGCCTCCCGCTCTGCCCTCTCCAGATCAATGGGGTGGCCAGTGAGGACATGTCCCTGGCTGACACCCAGAAGCTCATTGAGCAGACAGAGGGGACCCTGACCCTGCTTGTCCTCCGGGACCACCGGCAGTTTCTGGTCAACATCCCCGACACAGAAGACAGCCAGAGCGACAGCTCCCGAATGGATGGTGAGGGGACACGGTGATGGGGCCGGGGGCCAAATACACAGCACAGGGACTGGATGGTCACTAACATGTCTTCCCTCCTGTTGCTGCAGATATCTCCGACATTGACTCTGAACTGTCCCATCCACCATCCCCCGAGACCTCTCCACGACCGGCGGCTGCCAGGATGAATTCACCACCGTAAGCCCGGCTCTGTCCCCAAGAGCCCCCCTTTCCCCCGTCAGATCTCCCTGCGTTCTCTGCCTCGTTGGAGGGGCTGGTTCTCCTCAATCCCAGAGCCAGTTCACCCTGGAGGTGGGACTGCCATTTAATCCCCAGCTTGCTCCACTGTCCCTGCTGCCCACTTGGCACTGCCTGCCCGTGCCCATCCAGCACCTGCCTCTATGACCTGCCTAAATCCTGCCCCAACTTTGTTCCAGGGAGAGGAGACGACCAAACAGGGACCCTGCGGGTGACACGACTGTGGACGATGCTCGGAGCCCTGGTGAGTGAGCTCAGATCGGGCTGGGGGAGCTGAGGGCACTGAGTGGGCTCTGGGTTCCCGGGTGTCTCTGCTGTCTGAATCCCCCTGGCAGAGCTGCGCCAGCTCTCCCTGTGCCTGGGCTGCCCTGGCAGCAGCGTAGACACTGCCGCCTCCTGGACCAGCCCTCCTTCCCTGCAGATGTGCTGAAAGCCGTGGAAGGGGATAGCTGCCACAGCCCCCACGCCAGCCCCAGTGCCCGCAAGGATGGGTACGTCTGTGAGAGGTGGTGGGGAAGGGCTGGGGGAGATGGGGAGCTCCCGGCACAGGGTTGGGGTCACAGGGCTGGTGACCCCCTTTGCTGTCCCCGGCATGTCACTGCTGGGCTGACCGCAGCTACCCCTGTTGGCAGGTACAGCGCTGATTCCAGGTTCGTGCACTTTGTGAAGGCCAAGAGTGTCGGGCTGCGGCTGGCTGGTGGGAACGACGTGGGCATCTTCGTGTCGAGCGTCCAGGAGGGGAGCCCGGCTGACAGCCAGGGTCTCCGGGAAGGGGACCAGATCCTGCAGGTACCCGGGGCTGGGAATGGCTCCAAACGCTGTTGCACCCAGACTGACGCCATCACTCTTGGGTCTGAAATCCATCCCCCCGCCAGGTTTGGATTTCTCCTGCTGGCCATCGTTTTGGGTCAGTGGTGGTGCCCATGGTCTGAACCCATCGGGCTGGCTCTGCGGACACTGCCTGAGGGGACAGTCCTGTCTCCAGCACCATGCTAACACCCAGTGGGGTCCAGGCACCACCTCAGCTGGCCCAGAGTTCCTCCCCCAGGGCTACTAGGGGTTGTGGCAGGCACTTGGGTGGCAGGGACCAGTTCCCTCTCCCACCCTGCCCGGGGCTATGCTGTCCCTGGGACCCGTGCCCTCCGTCCTGCCGGTGGGGCTGTGTCTAAGTGTTTTTCTGTGGCAGGTGAATGACACCAGTTTCCAGAACCTGACCCGTGAGGAGGCTGTGGAGTACCTCATGAAGTTGCCGCCAGGCGAGGACATCACACTGTGGACCCAGAGCAAGCAGGACAGTGAGTGATGACCAGCCTCACCCTGGGCTTGTGCCTCTCCATCCTCTGTCTCTCCTAAGCAAGCGTCAGAGCTGCTGGACTTGCCACGCACTTTCTGCCCCACAGGGTGGTCCTTCTTCCCTGCACCCCCTTCCTCCTCCTCCAGAGAGGTGATGGGAAGGGACCAGACCATTCTGGTCCCCTTTGTGCCTTGGTATCCTGGAGCACGGGGGCTTTCTGGCACTGTGGCTCAGCCTGGGGAGGCCCGTGTGTGCTGGGGGGTCAGGTCCCGCTGTCCCCAGCATGCCTGAGAGAACCACGGGAGGAAAAGGTGTTCCCAATGCCCTCCTTAGCAGCAAGGGCTACCGTGGAGGCTCCCGGCCCAGCCCAGCTCCTTCCCAAATCGCTCCAGCCTCTTCCCCCTCAGCCACCTATTCTCCTGATGGTCCCTCTCACCCTGGGCTCCAGTTTACAGGAAGATGGTCTCATCCAACGTGGGTGACTCATTCTACATACGGACGCACTTTGACTTTGAGAAGGACACACCGTCGGGGCTAAGCTTCGTCCGTGGGGATGTCTTCCATGTGCTGGACACTATGTACCGGGGCAGGATGGGGAGCTGGCTGGCTGTGCGCATGGGCAGGGACCTGCAGGAGCAGGACAAGGGCGTCATCCCCAACCGGAGCAGGTAGGGATGGAGCCAGGAACGGCCCCAAGAGCAGCAGAGCCAGGGGGTGGCTCCTCAGTGAGACGGGGACATGGATGGTGGGCCCAGTAAGAGGCAGGGCAAGGGCTGATGGAGCAGTGGTGGGAAGTGTGAGCCGGTGAAATCCCTTCTCAGGGGTGATGAGGCAACTGATGCTCTGGTTGTCCAAGGTCCCAGAGGGAAGAGGCTACCACAGCCTCATGTGGCTGTGCCACTGAATGGGGACGCTGGCTTCTCCTGCCCCAATACTCAGAGCCCAGAGAGACAAAGCGGGGGGTAAATCTGGAGGCTCCAGGTCCTGAGCCTTCCCCTCCCAGGGCCGAGCAAATCGCCAGCCTGGAGTCGGTGCTGAAAGCCACGTCTGGTGCCAACCCCTCTGGGGCACGGGCCGAGTTTTGGAAGCTGCGGGGCTTGCGGGGTGCCAAGAAGATGCTGCGGAAGAGCCGGGAGGACCTGTCTGCGCTCACAAAGCAGGGCCACTACCCGCCATACGAGAGGGTGGTCCTGAAGGAAGGTGAGCACCAGGGCTATGTCCCCATCACCCAGGGGTGCCCCACTGCGGGTGCTAATGGGCTCAGCTCTCCTGGGAAGAGCGTTTTTTTTCCCATGTGCCCCTCGAGGAGCCAGGCTGCATGCCTGGGTGCTGCAAGCTCGGTCCCTGTCCCCAGCCTCCCTGAGCCAGTGTGTCTTCTCCCCACAGCCAGCTTCAAGCGGCCGGTGGTGATCCTGGGCCCCATCGCAGACATTGCCATGCAGAAGCTGAGCACGGAGCTGCCCGAGCTGTTTGAGATTGCCCGTAAGTGTCCCCTACACTGGGTAGAAATCATAGCCAGCAGCCAGACCCCCAGTGTCCAGGACCTGTGGGAACTCTTTACCTGCGGCTGTCCCAATCCTGCCTCATTGCACCCTCCCTGTGACACCCCAACGTGTTCCCTGGACTCATTCACGCTCTCTTCATCATGATACCAGTGGGGCCCCAGACATGCCCCCCCCCCTTGAGGGACACAGCCCTGGGGCAGGGCACACCCAGACCCAGCCTGGGGCTGGCGGAGATGCCATGTCGCCCCCAGCCGCTCTCACACCATGTCTCCATATCCTACAGCGAGCGTGCCCCGAGACGGGGCGTCATCCAAGGTCATCAAGTTGGACTCTGTGCGGCAGATTGCAGAAAAGGTGAGAGACCTTTCCTGTGTTCTTGGAGAGGGGTGGGTCAGGGCCTGGGGGGAAGCCCATGGCCTCCGTCTCTGTCCCCAGTGGGGCTGATGGCCATGCCCTGCCCCAGAACAAGCATGCCCTGTTGGACATCACGCCCTCGGCTGTGGAGCGCCTCAATTACGTGCAGTACTACCCGGTGGTGGTGTTTTGCGAGCCTGAGAGCCGGCAGGGCATCAAGGCCATGCGCCAGTGGCTGGCACCCGACTCTAGAAAGAGCTCCCGGCGCCTCTACGCCCAGGCCAGCAAGATGAAGAAGTACTGCAGCCATCTCTTCACTGCCACCGTCAGCCTCAGCAGCAGCAGCAACACCTGGTACAAGGCGATCAAGGACATCATCAGGACGCAGCAGAGCCAGCCCGTTTGGACAGCCGCGGAGCAGGTATGGGGCACGGGGTCCCTGTGGCAAGGCTCAGCCTGCCGGGGCTGCAGCCAGGCAGGTGATGGGGCCATGCACCAGTCCTCCCACACCTGGGGTCCCCACCCACAGGCAGATGTGGCAGTGGAGGACAGTCTGGACCTGCCGAACCCACCAAGCACGGCGGCCTCAGGCTACCTGACCTGTGATAGTCATGCCAACAGCGACTACGACACGGACGGTGAGACAGGCGCCTACACTGATGGTGAGGACGCCTACGACCAGCCTGGGCTGGCCCGCTCCTCTGAGCCAGCGCACACGTCCGTAAGCCATGGCTTGAATGAGCAGGTGAGTCCCCCATACTGGTACGAGGGGCTGGTGGGGCAGAGGAGGGTGTCACAGTGCCTGCTTATGGGGGGCTAATTCCCATCCCCTGTGGCACAAGCAGGGTGTCACCTCCAGCTGCACACCCATGCCCAGCTCTGGTTCCCCGTGGGGGAACACAGCCCAGCCCCAGGCTGGGGCACAAATCCTGCGCCTACCTCTGACCCCTCTGTCTCTCTGGTTTTTCACAGGCGACCGAGCAGCAGCGGCAGGGCCAGCGGAGCCAGAGCTATGACAGCATCAGGTACCCTGCACAGTGGGGCCAGCCGGGGGGTTAAAGCCAGCCAGCCCTGGGGCTGGGGCAGGGCCTGTGGAGGCGTTGTGGGCCGCGTCTCCCG